GAATTTAGACAGAAAATAGAAACAGACTGACATTTTTGCTTCTATAAAAACGTATATGTGTATTGTTTTTACAAGTGCAAAAGCAGGGTTTTGTATAGTTATAAATAAGGACAGTTGAGTGGGGGCGTTAAGCTTCTTTCGTTTTGGCCCATTAACTTTCATTCCCATTTCATTTTTGTGTAGTTCCACTTAGGCAGTATCAGGAATTGCCCCAAAATGAAGCTGTACTAATATAATTTAAAAGCAAATTTGAATACGAATTGAAGATCAAGCTCTTTGTGAAAGCAGTTATTGTGTTTTTGGAGGCATGTCTGTGAGAAGGGATGCAAAAACATTCCCACTGAGGAGGTCCAAGAAATTGTTTTCTATTATAGCTGCATGTAAAATGCTTTCCAATATATAAAAAGGAGTGAGTAAGTTTAGGGTGAAGATTCTGGGGACATTGTCTGTTACACATCCATTAGTTCTGGGGCGCTACATATCCCCCAAAGTTGTTTCAATAAACTGTTTATGTTGCTATCATGTATTAGAATACTGAATAACATTAAAAAATCATATACTGTGGGTAAAAAACGTATTTGCACACTTACATTTTTGTTTGCAATTCATAAAAAGAAGCATTGAGAAATAAAAAAATTGTATTGCCAAAGCAGAATAAGTTTAATCATCCAAAACAAACAGAAAAATTACAATAATATAAATAACAATGCTTTTTTGTAACAAAATTAAAATATCTCGTATCAAAAAAGTATTTGCACACCTGCATGAATACAAAAGAAATAAAATATGTAAGCAATCTCAAATACTAATATTTAGTATGCATTCCTTTAAGCATCTATTACTGCTTGTAATCTTGCTGGCATTGATTTAATTAAATTTTCTGTAACAGTAGGGTCAGTATTCGGCCATTCTTCAATAAGGGCTTGTTTTAAGGACAGATTTGCTTGAAATCTTCCATTTTCTTATTTTTAAAAAATCCAAAGAATTCCACAAATTTTCCAAAGGATTTAAGTCTGGTGATTGTGGTGGATGGCCAAGTTTTCTGGGTACATTATAAAGAAACCACATACGTGTTATACCGGCAGTGTGCTTTGGGATCATTGCCTTGCTGAAAATAGTACGAATTACTGATACCCAATTTTATTGGCACTTTGTGGCAATTTATCTCGCAACACATCAATATAGGTTGGAGCTGTCATATTCCCTTCAATGAAACACAAATAACCAACTCCTTTGCTAGCCATGCACCCCCAAATCATAACAGAACCTCTTCCATGTTTAACTGTAGGTAACACATTTTTGGTATGAAAAGCAGTACAAGGTTTTATCCAAACTAATTTCCTGCCATCTGATTTAAAGATATTGAACTTACTCTCGTCGGAGAATATGACATTTTTCCAGAAATCAATTGGCATATTGATATATTCCTTAGCGAATTCAAGTCTCTTCAGTCTACTTCGTTCAGTTATGAGAGGTTTTTTTTCCTTGGAGATCTCCCATAATGGTGTGCAACGGCAGGAACATTTCGAACACTTTGGGCACAGATTTGAACTCCAGATGTTGAAGTGACATCATTGGCTAAAGTAAATGCACTGAACAAATGGATTTTTCGAAGCTTCTCTTATGATTTTTTTTTTCGCTTATTCGCAGTGAAAGTTTCTTTGGGCGTCCAGAGAGCAAGTTTGATGTAGATCCTCTTTCTTTCTTTATGACATTTTATAACATACCAAACAGTAGAGAAGCAAACATTTACTTTTTTTACCTATTTCTCGATAACTTAGGCCATTTTCACGTAGAGAAACAATTTTTTTCTTCTCGCAACGAAATCGGCAATTCAGATTTCTTAGGTGCCATTACAATTTGAAATCGACAATCAACTGATAACGTTTCGACAACACTCCTTTTATAGTTTTACGTATGTTATTTACTGCGGGATGACTGTGAAATAATAGCATAAAAATGCAAATTTGCTAAAGTTGAGTCGAGTGTGCAAATACTTTTATTGACATAAGCTATTTTAATATTGTTGCAAAAAATGTCTTTTATTAATATTATTGTATTTTTTGTAATTAATTTAATAATAAGCTTATTCTATTTTTTAAATGCCAATTTTTGTATTTCTTAATGCATTTTCTTATAAATTGTGAACAAAAATGTATGTGTGCAAATACTTTTTGTACCCACTGTACTATAAAGCATTTTAAATCCAATTTCTTTTTGTTTAAAATTAAAATTTCTCCTTTTCACAGTTTTTTTTAAGGGATAGTTAGTTATCAGAATAGCTAATTAGTTGTGGTGTTTTCCCCAATTACCAGAACAGCTGATTAGTTGTGACGTTTTTCCCAATTACCAGAATACCTGATTAAGAGAATTTTATGATGCGTATCTAATTTTAAGAAAATTATGTAAGCTCTTTTCCTAATACCAAATGTAAGTCTTTAATGGTAATGAAATCTTATTTGATATGATAATTGAGGAAAATATATTTTTATAATTGTTTCATTTTGTCGACAAAGCTCATTGTAATGACCTCTTGCATCCAACAGAAAAAGAATGCTGTAACATGTGACAGTTATAGCAAAAATTGCTTTAATATGCAGTCGAGGACGACTTTTTGTACTGGTTATTGTAATGGGATAGCTGTTATAACGAGTACCAACTACTGTACAAGTATTCCCAATGTGCTTGTTTTAGAACCTAGAGACACAGATCTCTGCTTCCAAAATCAGAGAAAAGGTAGATTAGACTTTCAACTATTCAGATAAACATCATACAGTCAAAAGTCTTTAATCCGGACTTGTCGGGACTTCGGCTATTCCGGATTATCGGTTTTTCCGGATTATAGATTATCAATTTAAATCTGGTAAGATGGCATGCAGAAATTATAAAATTAAAAATATGAAACCGTAATTTATGAAATAAAGAGCAATTATGATCTAAAGGGTATCAAAATTAAAAAAAAAAGCTTTATATTTATTTGTTTACTTTATTAAACATTTCTTTCAACGCGCACATGCGTAAAGCATACATTACGCGTAGTCGAAATTAGAAAATTGCAACCAGAAAACTATTTGATGTGTATTCGTGATATTTATAATGACAAGGAATTTGATTTAAATCATGTCAAAGACAGAGTACATTGAGATGAAATACTACATTTAGTAAGGAATTATAAGCCGAATAAAATAAAAACATCTGCCCTGAAGATAAGGATAGTGCTGACAGATCAACTTCCAGTTCATTGCGCGCCGTGTCGTCCTCCCCCTGCAGATTAAGAATTTCATGTTAAATGAAAATCTGATAGCTTATTTTTAAATTTTACATTTTGTTTAATTAGTTTTTAGTTAATTTTGTATTTTTAGAATTTAATAAATCTTTTGTAAATGTTAAACCTTTTACTATTGAGAAACACCATTTGTTTCCCAAGACAATTCAAATCAATACGTAAATGTATTTTTATGCCTCTGACTTTTAGATATTAAGTAATAAATAGCATAAACCAAGTTTTTATGGTGATAATATATGTTTCATACCAATTTGCAACATGATGATTAATTTAAATGCATAAAAAAAGACTACATTATAGCTCCTCTAAAAATGTTGCATTTTCATAGAAACTTTATATAAATAATGCATTGCTATTATCTCATGGAATAAATATTATAGAGGAATTTTCCTGAGGCAAGGAAATTAGGGGGATGTGCAGTCAGGATAATCTTTGAAAGCCTAAATGCATTTCAGGAAACAGAATCAACAAGGGACTATTATAATTTGAACTAAATGGTTTAGGGCATCGTAAATATGCACATGTAACAGCAAGCCTGAAAACAGAAATAATTGGGAGCAGTTATGTTTTAAATGAGCTAGCCCACAGGAGCAGAAATGCATTTGATGAAAAGCACATATTATGAAAAAGGAAAAATGATGTTGCTTGTCTGATTAGAATTCTGAGAAATACATGTTCAAGTGTTTTCTCTCAGAATACAAACTCCCCATGGTTATTGTTACAGTCTTGGCAATCTTGGAAAATAACCAATTTCATGTGCATTTTATTTTGACGGCAGTGGTTAAAAAAGTGAATGCATGTCTTCAGAACCAAAGAATTCTTTAGTCTCTCTGTTCTAAATCAGAACCGTGACCTATTGAGTAAGTCCTAAAGAAGTGTTGTAATTTTGTAGAAAGGAATGGAATGTTTTGTTTACTTAATTAAAATATAATGAATATTTTATTATTCACTGAACAGAGATATACAAAATGTTATATTTTGTTGCTTATACAATCCTGTCCGTCATCGAGCAGAAGTTGTTTCTACAAAATTGTCTACTTTTTTAGACATTTTATAATTGGATAGCAACATTTAGAGTCAATATATGAAGAAATAACTCTGCAGAAATCTTTTTGAGCACTCTTTGTTACAGTAGTTTTGTGTACAGTAAACAAATTAAAATAAATGGTTCTTGTTCCACATCTTATAACAATACTCAAAAATGGATTTTAAGCCTTTCAAGATGTCAACTTCCAAAGAGAAATGCTTAATTAAAAAAAAAAAAATTATAGAAAAATCAGATTTATATGAGAACAAAATATCAAAAGTATTTAGGTCTTCCTGTTCCTGAGAATCCAATCCAGAATGCAATTAAGAATTTTCACCATATTTTTGTACTGAGCCTTTAAGTTTCTGTGAATGGGCTGGCTGCTTAAAAGTTTTCATGTTTTCAAAAATGTAAATTAGTGTAAATTTTTATATACTAAATATACCAATTTATAGTTTTTTTAATAATTAAGATAACTTGAAAAGTATTAAGAGTTGAAAACTGATGACTGCCTTTGGTGTTGTCAAAATGAATTATCCGTGAATGTTTATGAACTTTTATTTCACGTAACTATGTCCAAAACAATAAAAAAGTTAAACTTTTCTTGTGTAATATTTTATTTGTTAAATGCATTTGTCATTAAATGTAGAATGCTTTAATTTTTATGTAATTCACTTTTCTTCCCAGCTGCTTTTGTATGAGTCAGAAAACAGAGAAACCAACGCTATCAGGTCAACGTATTAAGACCCGTAAAAGAGGTAGGTTATCCATGCAGTTTTATTTATTGTAAATCATAAATGTGTTTTTGGTTTGAATGCTTCTACATTCAAAGTTATTCCATTGTGGCATAAAACTGAATGCTTTGTGATTTTAAAAGTATCAAAGCTAAGCATCTAAGCTTTGTTTGATAAGTGGTACACTTTTTGAGATTACTATGTTTTACATAAAATGAATTCATAGTTGACATATTTTCTTGTAGGTTTCATATTTGATAAAATATAATTTAAAATTTATATATGCTAGTGTTCATAATTGATTGACTTTGTCTTCTCTTCTGCTTTGTCTTGGAAACCATTTTTGGTTCTGTAGCTGAATCTAATATATCTAGTCATATATTTTTAATATGAAAAATACTTGGACATAATTTTTTTTGTTAAAAACATATTTCACAAAAATAAGTTGAAAAATACGAAGTCTTAAATATGGTAACTATGTTCTAAGGGTGATAAATTGTCAAAGAAATTTTAAATTTACTAAAATTTTAAAAAAGGGTAAGACTTGAGAACCATTAAGGGCAGTAGTAACCTGTGATATTTGGAATTGACGTCACAGAAAAGGGGATTGGCTGCTGCCATCTTGGATTTTCCCGGAAATGATGTAGATGGTTTGAAATGATGTCATGCTTAGTTTCATTTTTATTTTGTGGCAATGACAATTTTTTCAAAGTTTTTTTTTGGTAGCTACCATGATTTTTTTAATTTGTTTTGTAGCAACAACCTCTTGAACCATGTGTTTCGATTGACATCAACTTTGTTTTAATATTTTAAATTATTTAATATGTGATTAATTTTAATCATTTAGTATGTTATTATTTTTAATTATTTAATTTTTTAAGTATAAATCATTATTTTAAATTGATTTTACTGTTTAATTTAATATAGCAATTTTTAATGAATAAATTTAAGAATATGACATTTTTAGTAGAACTGTAAATTCTGTGTAAGAGTGAAGATCAAATGCCTGCTTATAGTGTCAGGAGATTGCTGGGAAATTTTCTTTGATGAAACTGCCTTTTAAGGAAAACTACAATGTAATTAATTTTGTACTATTATTGTCCATGTTCTGCAGAATACTATTCCTCTGCCTGTAAGTTTACATCTTAGACTGTTATCTCATATGCTATTTGTTGCTGGAAAATGTTGTCGAAAGAAACAGCTCTCGGAACTGTAGTTCCACAAAACGGGTTACCATCTTTACTTGGTAAATAGACTTGAAAGCCAAACAGGAATCTGTTATCGCTCAGATTGGTGAAAGAGACATTTGCTTCCAGATTCTGTGTATATACAAAATATATTTTGTAATTATTTTAATACTGTTAACTCAGTACCTTGGCAAAATGGCAGTGTTTATTACATTAATCATTACTTTTAAATTGTATTTTTTGTGCTCCGATTTCTTGTAATGATCTGTTGTATATATTTTTGAAAATACCTTTACATCGTACATTCAGTGGCTTGTCATCATTTCTGCTTTTATTATTGTAAATAACATTTTTGTATCCATATATTTAGTTAATAACTTTTATGTACACAATGTAATGTCATTTACTGATATATGCTTTGTGATGAGTGAAAAATATTTATTTTATCCTCAAAATGTTAAATATTTCATAAAGGCTACTTGCTCAGTTTCTTTTGTTTAAATTCCTAAATTATGAATGCAAAGGTTGTGTGTAAGTGGGTGTATTTTAATGACTAGCCTAATGCACAAAATGCACTTCAATTATTTTTCAACTGTGTATTCCATATCCATGATAATGTGCAAAGAACTGATGACTACAGTTGCTGCCAATTACATAATCATTATATGAATTAGAAGTAACTCCAAATAAACTTTTTGGCAATGTTCATTTGTGTATTCATACATATATATATACACACACATATAATAAGTCATATATTTACATACACGCAGAGAGAGAGATGCGATGGTATAGAAGTTGTTGATGTAGGTTTATTAGTATTAATGTAATGAATAAGATTTTTATTAGTGAATGTATATACAAATGTTTTTCATCATTCATAAGAATAAATCCATAAATTTCCATTGTTTCAATATGTAGCATTTATAATAAAAATATAGTTCTTAATGTCTTTATAGTCTAAGAAGAATTTAATTATGAACATGAAGATAATAGCATACAAATTAAATGTATATTCTCATTATTACATAATCTATGTTTTAGTAAATATACATAATCGCTGATTATGCAATTTCAATTTAAAAGTAATTAGCAGAAAAGTAAAGTCATGCATATACAAACATATTTTAAAAAATTATTCCCCTTAATTAAAAAAAATCTATCACATATGCTATTTTTTGCTGGAAAATGATGTCGAAAGAAACAGCTCTCAGAATTGTAGTTCAGCGAAACAGGTCACCCACTCATTCACATCCTTGCAAGGAAATTTGAGGGGAATAAGAGAATTCAGGAAAGGTTCACAAATTAAAATAACTATTAGTAAAACTAAATAGGACCCTACAGTTATAATATTGGTAAGTCAGATGAATTTTCTGTATTTAACGCTACTTTGAACTCGCTATGAAATTCTTTGGAAATGCGGATAGTCTACAATCGCTTTAGTATTTGACTAGAAATCGGTTGACACAGATAAGCAGCAGTTTGAAAATAAAACAAGAATATAACAAAGTACTACACATGTAAATTATTTTACCCAAGAATTAAAGCATAACCCTAATTCAGCGTTATATTCAAAATGGAAAGTGAAAATTAGCAATACAGGGTATTTATACATTAATGGTGCTGTTTTAAAAATTGTTAATAAATCAATGTATTATTTTATATGGGCAAACCTTATAGCATAAGCATCGGTAGCGGTCCCCATTTTTGATGCATTAATTGCAATCCTTCAATATGTGCAGCCCTGATCACATTACACACATCTACTTGGTGTAGCATGTCCACTGTGACAGCCTGCAGTGCATACTTTATCCGACCACAAACTTCCTCAGTGGACACAGGCATTGGCGTTACCTAAACTCAGTCTTTAATTTTAACAAACCTCCAAAGAAGGAAATCTCATGGTATTAAAGAATGAGATAGTCAGGAGAAAAGATTGCTGTCTGTTGTTGCAATATGTCGAGCTCATCATAGGTGAATGACACAATTAAGAAGCTCTTGTGAAAATGGTTTGAAGCACCATCCAATTGAAAAATGTAATCATCGTATTATCCTAGATAACAGCGAGGTTTCCAATGCATCTAGAAATGAGTCACTGATCATACTTTCTGGTTTGAAGAAAAATGGGACATGCACTGTCTTCTGGGACACCACACAGCACAAAACTCATATTGCACTGAAACCACAGATCTGGAGACCTCAAAACGGAGCATACAGGAAACCTTTACTTGTTGCGGCACCGTCTTGGAAACTGAGGCTGTGGCTGCACAGTAAGCATGACAAGCAAACAGCAGGTAGCTTATGAGAAACTTGGACAGTTGCCAATGCTTACGGTGTGGGTTTTATATGTGTAAGTAAATTATCAATTTATTATTCACTTTTTAAACTGCACCATTTATTTTAAAACACCCTGTATATTAACACTGCACTAGGAATAAAATTTCAGAGACCAGCAAATAGTATAAAAATTAATCAAAAAGTATAACAAAGTACATGCATAAATTGTTCTTCGTAATAAGTTAAGAATGTTTTCTGTTTAGTACAGTGGTTCCCAAACTTTTCAGAGTTGTGGTGCTTTTTTTCAATTAAAATTTTTTCGGGGCACTCTACCCTAAGTAAAAGTATGACTAATCAGGAGTAAAAGATTTAATAATAATAATAATAATAATAATAATAAAAAACCCCTCTGGTATCTTTCTTCTTTAACTTTACTTTATTAACATTAAATTAATAACTAATGTGACATAATCACTGCACATTTTCTCAAATCATGGCATTAACTGGAGACGGCCACCATCATTTCCTTTCCTATGCTGATTTTTCCTCTATACTTGCATTTTGTTACAGCATACTCAAAACAACTCAAACTCAGTTTTGTGCAAATACATCATAGCGAACTGAATTAAAATCCACTGAGCCATATCGCTAGAAAGGGATATTCATCTTTTATTCAAAATCCCAAATTCTGTCATTTCCATGCTGCCAAATTTGGCTTTCAAACTTTTGTTGCAAGATAACCAAATAAGATTCTCTTCTTCCGCAGAAGTAAATTCAGATAGAGCACTAGTGTTAAATGAATCATCCATGCAAAACTATCAAAATTTTCATTTTGAAAATATTTCTAAAATCTGAGAATTAGGTGTGATAAGTGCCCCTCAAACATGTTTCATATATCTTGAGAAAGATGGTCATTTGACATCAGAAATTTCCGCAATATTAAAAAACAATTGTTCCCTGCATCTTCACTCAATTTTCATCTCCACAGTTTTGAGTTTTTTACAAAAGCTGATATTTTTTCTTTTGACTTCAAAATGTGCATGTTTTTTTCTCCCTGCAGAGCAAGATCAAGAGAATTTAGCTTTTTAAAAATGTCACACAAATATGCCAGTTTTGTTAAAAAATTGGCATCAGCAAAATCTTCTGCATCTTTGTATCCTTCCTCTTTAAGGAAAATAAAAATTTCTTGCTGCAATTCAAAGGTAAATGACAAAACATTACCACGAGAGAGCCATTATGCACTGCTATCATACAATAAAGATGAGTGGTTGGTTGCAATATCCTGACATAGTGTTTTTTTTTTTTTTTTTAAAAAAAAAACCTTGCTCTCAATGGACAAGATTTTATAAATTTTCTGACATTCCACACACATTCTAACACCTGATTCAGTGCAAGACTCAGATATTTTGACACAAGGGTTTCTCTGTGAATAATGCAATAGGTCTGCAGTGCATTTTGGGATTTGCTTTCAATAAGTGCCTGTAATTCTCCATAGCAGACAAATGGAACGAGCTGCATCAGTACAGACACCAATGCACTTAGGCCAATTCAATTGATTTT